GGGGGCCCTATCTCGTTCACAAGCGAATACTGATGATAGACAAGCAAATAGAGCATGCCGTAGACTACTTTAGTAATGCCTAAATAAAAGTGGTTGCTCATATAATTGTTGTTGCAAATACATTCTAAAAGACACAATACAAACCAATACAAACAATTTGTCTTAACAAAAAACAACGAAGAACAAAACATTGAACTACACAGAGTTGCTGCACAAATGTCACGCGCACTGAGTTACAGAATGTCAGGCGCCGGCCTGACGGGCAAAATTCCGAAAGAACCCGGTGCGCCTAGGATCGCTTCACTTCTACCAGCTGTGATCACACACTTCGCATCACAGCGATGGATAAACACGTGCGGAATCTCGTTTAACATGAGCTGCCGGCCCCGGGTGCCAAATCCCGCCAAGAGATGTGAAGAGGATCCAACCTCAAAAAAAACACAAACTTGCCCTGTATCTCTGACTATATAGCCCGTGGATCTTTTGGTGCACTTACCCAAGGCCGAATGGCAGGTCGCAAGGACGAAGATCCAAGGGCTTGACTGTTGTCACCCTCTGGGACTTTGTTCAACCTGAATCACACTTCTGCGTCAACTACCTTCGTCCGCAATCTGCACTGCATACACAGGCCTGCTCAACCTTTCTCTAGGCCCTAGGTGTCTGGCAAGTGTCGAAGCTGCTGTCCCTCGCAGGCGGGCCCCTCGGTCATAACAATGTGGACCTGCCACACTCAGCGCCGGCAGCTGTCGTCCCTTGCTTTCTTAGAACATCTTAGAATAACCACCCAGCAGGCAATGTATCTTCTTGATCAGTTGAAAGAAGGAACTACCGGTTACCACTACTTGAAAACCAGCTTGCCTGTAGGCCTGCAAAACTAGCCATATAATGCCATACGTCTCAGTTTCACTGAGCTGCACTGACAAAATCCATTATATATATATATACTTGGAAATGGATGCAATTTGTTGCCAACAAGCCTTTTTGCTCTGTGATGATTTGTGACCATCTGTATGACACATACCATCTCTGACAACCCCTGCAAGCCTAAAGATCCATGAATCTCAGCCCTGTCCCTGCTCTAATGGCTTTTGTGCCAATACTTGTTCATTCAACTGTGCAGATATCAAATTAAGGTTTGGCTCAAGATCTGTCTGCACAGGTAGTTCCTTGTCTGCGTGGGAGATCCATGTAAGGAGTGGAGGTGTGCCCACGCGATGTTGACAAGTTGCAACAGATCGGGCGTTCGCATCCTGTTAAGATTCATCGATGCAGGCAAGCTCTTGAGAAAGCCTCGGAAATGCCATAAGGAATGAACCCGATTTCTTGGCAGCTTTCTTCTCCTTCTCCGCCATATCCTTTCCATCTTGGGTCAATCAAAAAGATCTCTCCTGAAGTCTTGAAGCAATTGGGCAGCACGCTTTCACAGATCTGAATTCCTTTCTTGCCGATCACTCTGACCAAAGCTCTTCCACTTCCACCTGCGGGGAGCAGCAGCTGAAGGCTCCGAGTCGGGCCAATTCATTGGAAGAAGCTAGTCCTAACAAGGGCATCGCTACTAGCAACAAAGGGCATTACTACTAGTAGCAAATAGCTGCTAGTAGCTTCTTGCTACTAAGTAGTAATGCACGTGTTACTAGTAGCTTCTTGTTGCTAGTAGTAATGCCAGGAGCTACTAGTAGCTTCTTGCCACTAGTTGTAATGCCCTTTCTCCCAGCAGTCTTGCAGTAGAGCTTGTTGCCTGGCTGCTTTCCGATGCACATGTTGAGCCAAGCGCAGGTTGTCCCGCAGGTAACGAACGTTGTTTCTGCGTAGCAGGTTTGTTGAGAATATGTGCAAAGTGTGCAAACTGCATCTCCACCATCAACCACACGTCGGCGAGCCTGAAACAGGATGCATTAACCTGCAATCGCTTGAGCCAATGACACTGGTCTTTGGAGCGTCCTGTTTGTCAAAGTGAAAGAAAGTTGGCCGTTAAAGACCCCTAGCAGCACCCTGGCACACGTGAAGCAACAAAGCCGTTGGCTGCAACTAGTTGCTGCGGAGTCTCCGCATCTTTGAAGCACCCCCACATGAAGCACCCCAGTTTTGAGCATCTGCAAGCATCTGGAACTCTGTTCGGCTCATTGAACTTCAAGAAAGGACTCGCAAGCAAGAACGTTGGGCACCACGTGGGTGTATCAAATGAGAATGTTTCTTAGACTTGCTGACCCCTATGAGCATGATTTTTATTTGTGCGGGTTCAAGTTGACTATGTCCTATGGATCCTGCATTGTAGGGCGAGGTCCGGCCTCTGCCTGAAAAGGTGCGCGCATGGAACCCGAGGTTGCAATCTTACAAAGGCAATATCGGTGGCCTGGAGGTCCTAGACCAGGTTGAACTAATCGGCACTACTGTTGGCTGCCATCCCCTCCCTCAACACTAAATACGGAGAGCAAAATTGCCAGAACACAAAATGCCCGAGAGCTACCAAAACCGGCCAAAACTTATTGCTGGGCAACACTGGGATTAACAATGCGCCCACCTTGCATAGCACTGCTCGAGCTGGGCCAGTGGGATAGGCCAATCGTGGGCCTGGTGCCTCAATGGCCTGACGTGGCGAAACTAGTGGATATGTGCGTTCCCGTTTCTACAAGTGCAGTGCATAGCGTCAAAATGACCGGTTTAAGACGACCGTAGCAGCAAAGTAGTACGCACGACTCTTATCTTTTCAATGTTTAAAAGCTCCAAAAATGTCCCAAACATTACTTACGCACTCCTTCGTTGCATGGCGAGCTATTCACCAAGCCACTAGCCTCTTTAAAGTCATCCAGGAGTTTTTGCGCTTCATCTTGAAGCTCCTAGCAGAAACAAAGCATGCATGTGACATCTGCACACTCACAAGACTAAAGTCACTAAACCATATGCTGACTGAGATTCGGCAGCAATGTAGATGCAAAGCAAAGTGCCTGCTTCGCGAAGCTGTCCCGATCGCGGGGTGTGGTGCGCAAATCCCACAACACCACAATCGCTACAACGATTCGTTGCATCTGGGCCCCCGAGCACTCAGGCCTTGGGCAAAGGAGGTCACGTTGCGTCTCGACACACAGCTCCGAGGTCTCGACGGGGCTCTCCACTGTTGCCTCTGAAAGCTGGGCTCAAGAAGCACGAGTTGCAGTCTTGTATCCCGAAAAGTAGCAGCTCAATATGCTTAAAGCATCTTACAGCAACGTTTGTCCTTGTTCGTCTAGCTTACACAAGTCAAGATTGGTTTCGCACTCTGGCCTGATCGAGGACAAAGTGGCAGCTAGGCTTAGCAAGTCCTCGTGATCCCATACCTTGAGAGGCATCAAGAAACAACAACAAAAAAAACACGTGTCGACGTTTTTGAGGAAAAAAACGCTAACTATTGAATAATTAGACATGTTTCAAAAAACATTCCATCTGCACAAACTGTCACCATCCCACTGACTCGCAAAAACGCGGACTGTCTACCTGCGCCAGCACCATGGCATGGAGCTTCGGCAAGCTTCGTGCGGCTTCCGCTGCCTCACCTGTGGCCTAAGGCACTCGAATTCGTCCACAGTCCATCGGTTCAAATAAGCACCAACACAATGTGCTAGAGATGAATTAGGTGGCTTTACTTGCAGAAATGATGTAAGAAGCATTGAACTGGATTCGTATCATGTGATTTCTTCATATCGCGGCTCATCACGGCTCGAGAGTGACAGAGTTGAAACGATGGGAAGTTGTTTCGTCCGCTTAGCACCTGTGCTTCCCAATGCTCCTCCGCAACCAGCTGTTGCCTAGGCAGCTGGCACACCATGGCACACCAAGCGGAGTAACCGACCGCACCATGTCAGTCGCCATGTCGCCAAGTCACGACAAACTTTGGAGAGCCTTAAGACCAGCACCTGAAGGACCAGGAGCCCCTAATAGCATCCGATCGCTCCTAGTAGCAATTCCAGGAGCCCCTAGTAGCTTCTTGTTCCTAGTAGTATGGCCAGGAGCCCCTAGTAGCGTCCTTGCTCCTAGTAGTACGGCCAGG